TGTCATGCCATTTGCATGCCAAACCTTGGGCCCTGGATCTTGGACTGAGGACTACACGATGGATACGAGCAACTGTCTCCATGTTTCCCTATGCTCTGCCTCACGTGAGCAAAGTCCCAAAGTCTCTTTTTTTACCCTTCAAAGATCGGGAGCTACGGGGCATGATTTATTTGCAAGAACTCTTCAGAATCTTTCCAGATAATCACTTGACCAGTAAATCCCATGAATGTCAGTGTGACAATGAACAAGGGCAAAGGGATTTTTGATTCTCACTATGTCCAGAATTGTGGAGTCAGAAGGGATTAGAATTACAGAATTTGAAAGCCGATTTATCTGATGGCTCCAGAATTAGAAGACTGAGATAAGCCCAAGAAGTGAAATAACTATGAACAGTATTTGAAACTCACTGAGCAATTGCCACCAGCACTTCAGTAGTGTCAGTAAATTTATGAGGTGGTTTTCAGGCCATATAAATTTGATAAATAAATGGAAAGTTCTGATTTTTCTCCAAATTCCCAGCTGCAGACATATTACCCACACAAATGGCCTTAATACCACAGTGGAAGGCTACTTGGCTTTCCTTACCTTCTACCTTCATGATCTGGTAGGTATCTTGGACCACCTTGTATTTGGGCTCATTGCGGAAGGCATGGGCCCATGCTTGGACCAGGTACAGGATCTTGTTGCGAACATTTGCTTCAACTTGTCTCTGCAGATAATAGGAAGGGTCAAGATCAGGCACTTGTGTAGCCAGCAGAACTGAGCTCGCAATCTTCCATTGTTTGAGTTATGATACTGATACACAATGCATCATCCCTCAGAGCAGCAAAAGCTAAAGCCAACTGTTCCCCTTCTTTAGTCATTGCTTATAAATGTGTACAATATGACTAGGGACCCAAAACAATTTCTTCCTAAAAATGTATTCTCGCTGAAGACATTTATATCTAATTTTAAGAGGTGTTTTGGTACACAAACGACTGTTCTTACCTCACAAACATAAAATCGTGTAAGGCTCTTCCTGCTGCAACAAGCTAAAAAAAAACCAAAGGTACAGAAAGGCTCCTGTAGAAAAATACTCTTCCCTGAACACTAGGATTACTGAAGATGCAGTCAAGCACATTCTCACTTTGCACAATAGTATATTGCTCCATCAAGAATCATTGATGGAATGAGGCTGAAATACTGTAAGGCAGGAAAGATCATGAGGACTAGATCTAAAATGGATAGGGTTAGGGTTAAGAGAGCAACAATAACAATGGACCTTGTGGGAGAAGTCATGTTACTCTATAGTGCAAAAGAAACCGGGATTTGAATTTGGAATGTTCTTCTAGGAAAAAGATTTGTTCCACCACTTAGCTACAGGAACATTACTCCACTTGTGTATACTATATACTTATTAAATCTATATATTTTTAAGAACTAGCTAATCAGAGTACAAGACCTGCACTGTTATCCAACATTTATTTTTCTTGTCATTGAGTTTTTTTTTCCAGAGATACAGTGAAAGCACAGAAAGTTTAAGTTTCATTTGGCATACTAGTAGATAAAATCCACGCATTAGAAAATGTGATGATAATAAGGAAGAAAACAATCCAATAGTGTATTCAAGCAATGAAAGCATCATACATTGATAGAAGTATGCACAACTACTCAGGGTGAAATCTTTGCTATACAAATACATGTGCAGACGTGGAAATGATTGTGCTCTAAAACTATTTCAAGGTAATTGAAATATGTTAGAGGTGGTATATGTATATATAAATGCATAAACATGCTACACTTGAATAAGGTCATTACAGTTTTTAATGTCTAAACAGATTTTTTTTTAAATAAAACTTTAGGACTTTGGCATTTTTTCTGTGTTGTTTACTTTTTTAAAAAGGTCATATAAGATAGTTTTTTGTCATGTAATATTAATACAAAGCTTCAGGGGGAAAAAGAACAGCAAAGTCAATCTATTCTACCTGACTCTAATATAAGGCTTTTCTGTAGTTTAGCTTACTGTAAAGAAAAACGGCCTAAGTGCTATTACCTTGAACAATTCCTTCAATTCCTCCATGGTCTGCTTGTTAGCCACCTCATCATGGACTGTTTGACCACAATTCTTTACTACAGATTCCAAAACCTGCATCAAAAATATACAAAAGTTGGTTCCCAAATAAAGTTAGGAGACTTCCCCAAAAATAGTTTGGATCTCCTGTACAATGCATACCACCCAGGTCCAAACGAGGAACACCTCTCTAGTCACCTGGGAGACTGATTATACTTCTGCTTACCTCTAGTGCATAGAGCGCCACATGAGGATTCTTGTCATTGACTTTTTTCTTAATTGCACCCACAGCATACTTAGCCCTGGGAAATCATAGGGGAGGAAGGAGAAGTAGTTCAGTCTAATGAAAGGTGCAAGAAACACTGAAGCCAGAGAACATTTTTTCTCTCATGAAACATAATATAATCACCTACAAAATGCTAACACTTGATGAAGGAGACTGTGTGTATGTCAAGACTCCAAAAAAGTCATATTATGACTAGACAAAAAAAAATGGCTATCTCCTAGAACGGGCCGGATTTGGCTTGCGGGGTGCTTAAATCCGGTCCACGGGGCCAGCCTGGAAATATCAAGGGACCAGCCTGCTGTGCCTGGTGGCTAAAATGGGCTGCATGCGGGCCCCCTGTGCCTCATTTTCATCCTCCATGGCCTTTTGCAGCACTCTGCCAGCTGAAACTGGGCCCAAACCAGGCCAAAATCTGGGCCAATAAATGGTCCAAAAAACAGGCCAAAAACAGGCTGAGAAATGGGAGCATTGATGGGAGCTGAAGTCCATGATATCTGGAGGGTAGCAACCAATCTTTTTTTTTTTTTGAGTGATGGCTGCCTTCAGCTTTGAATAGCATCCTGAAATCCATACTTTAGAAATGAGCAAGGCCCAAGAAAAAAATGAAATTATAATATTAAAACTAATATTAAGATTAACACTGCACTATCATTGACATGATTCTTTCTTATGTATTATTTTCTTTTTGATATTAAAATTTACAATTTATCAACAATCTAGAGACTGCCAAGGATTTGGTGAGTTATACAGAAATCTCATACTATGTAGCGCTGTGCTAGCTGATGGTTTGTTTGAATGGCCTAAGAGTGTCTATAGAACAACAAAGTCTTTAGAACAACAAAGTCTGTAGCCAATACGAGAAATTCTGGCTTTAGAAAAATGGATCAACATAGATTCAAATACCTGTGTTAGCAGCATGTTTCTTGCCACTCATACTTTGATTAAAGTTTAATTGTAATGAAAGAATGCTTCTTTTGTCAATAAAGTGCATAAAAATAGGGGAAATTATAAGATGGTAGAGTTCAGCACGTACTGGGTATCTCCCTGACGGATCATATCACAGATCTGTAGAATAGATTCCCAGTCTGTTTCCAGCAGAAGCTGACTTGTAGCCTTATCTGCAAGATAATAAGATAAGTCATTCAAGCACAAATTAAAATTTATAGTCACTATTAGAGAATTGATGGACAAAAGGATTTTTCTTCTGATGAGAATTATTAGAGATGAATGAGAACTTCAGATCACAAACAATTACAAGTATTACAGATATTTACTGTATGCTATTAGCAAGCATTTATACAGAGTTTTTCTCAGCAAAACTTGGCTGTCGAATCTAACTCTAGCTATAAACGTTTGCTCCTCCAACCATACCATTTATCATTTGCTCGGTTATCTTATATTTCCTGTAATTACTTCATTTTTATTGTCCCCAATAGACTTCTTTAATTAGGCCACTCTAGCATCTCCATCAACATGTTTAGATCATAACCTCTTCACTTCCTTTTCTTTCCAATTCTTTCTCCAAACTTCCTTTTGTCATAAACTTTGATACTTTTTCACATTTATGTAGAATAAGTCCTAGTTACATGTAACTGCTTTTGTACATATTTAAACTTTCTGCATATCACCCGCTCGCCTTTAATTTCTCCTTCCCTGTCATGTTATCAATTTCTTGAAGGAATTTAAGTATATTTTGGAATGGTATACTGTGGCATATTCTAACACTCCAAATTCAAATAGAGTGTTATATTTAAAGGGAAACGAATAACTGATCATTGCCTTTTTCCCATTAACACAAAAACACCAGTTAATTTGTCAACTATTGATAGGGGGTGATGTAGATTTTCTTTCCATTGATATTTGTCCTAATGCAACACATCAGTACTTAGCCTGTTACTTCCTGGTACAATCAGAGTCACCTTGTAGAACCTGATTCTAGGTTAGTGATGAGGTCAGCAGCATTGTACAATTACAAATACAGGACGGAGACTGGTTTTTTTTTCTTCTCATTACACATTTATATCATTCCATACATATAAAATGGATCAAGCGCAAAGGAAAAGAGAGTGAGTAATACTGTCATTCTGCAATCCCATCACATGACACTAGGCAATATCTTATTATTAATCACTCCAGTAGACCTCTTTGTCGCTGAAGTACAACCTGGCAATTGGTGGAGCGAGGACAATGATCCTACCAATAAATACAGGACAATCAATATGGGTGTACATGAGGGGGGTGGGGGAAAAGAGAGATAAAGGACCCGAAAGGGAAAATGCTTCACAGTCCTGATTGGTTTTCGGGAGCCACGAAAGACCCCAGAAAAGGAAGGCGCGATTTACAGAAAGGTGTTTTGCACACAAGAGCTGAAGAAAGGGAGGTCGAAGCAAGGAAACCCAGCCCCATTGCTCCGAACGAGCGTTAAAATGAAGGCCGAAGCTCTGAGGCAGGGTTAGGCCAAAGGTCCCCTTTTCCCTCCTCGGTACCTAAAAGGCGCTCAAAGGTGCCACCTCCTCGCCCCATTGTGCTCCCCGCTGAAGATCAGGCTAGACCGACCCGCCGCCGCTCTTCCCCTTCCGACGTCTCCGCAATTTAGGCCCCGCTTCCGCCTTCCAGTCAGCGGAGAGGCGGGCTTTCCGGCTGCAGGCCTTAGCGATTGGGTGAAGCGTGAACGAAGCAAACTGTCGCTCTGAAGCAATGAACGCTGCGAAGAACGTTGGCGACCGGACGGTCGGGCCTTGGTTGCTATGGGAATGGCGGGAAGCTGTGATGCTTCTCTCTGCTGCCTGCTTCTTGGGGCGACCGGGGTAGGAAAGACGTTGCTGGTGAAGCGGCTGCAGAATATCCTCGAGTCCCGACGGGGAAGGGGGAAGCGGGGCTCGTGGGTCAAAGGCGGACGAAGTAGAGGAGTGCCTAGCGAGGAAGGGAAAAGGAGCGAGGAGACGCTTTTGCCCAAGGAGGTGGTGTCTGCCAGGGCAGAGATGCATAGACTGTGGGTGGCCTCTAGAGATTTCAGAAAGTGATTACTAAATTGTGAATACTAAATTGTGATTTTAACTGGGACTGAAGAGGGCATCCATTAAATGTATGAGTGTGAAAAAAACATCAACCCGTAATGGATTATATTTAATTTTAATGAAGTTTAAATGCAAAAGGAAGACTTGGAATATGGCTTTCTGTCCGGTGCCATTACTTTTTCAAGTGCAATACAATATTAAATCGTTAAATGCACACTCTGGAAAAAAATTATAAGGGTTGGCCTCTTGTGCCATCTTGGGACTAACATGTGGAGTTAAGTGTCAGAGAGAGGGATGGAATTTTTTAAAAAGCCTGCTTGACGTTTGGAACGTAGGTTTTTTGACCCAGAATATTTAGTCCTTGCTGTATTGGGTAAGGGTGTAGATGGGATCTCCTTCTTGAGCAGCCTTTCCTACTCATATCCTGCTATCTTCCAGATAATGATCTTTGATAAATATTTCCGTAATTCCCAGATAAACATAGGCAGTGGAAGACATCTGAGAGCATTGGTTTGAGAAAGGCTATTCTGGAAAATTTGAATCCGACCTGTATCTTACTGTATTGAATGTTATTCTTTCCTATCATCTTCCTTAATGGCTCAAAAATACAGCTGAGCTCCAAAGATGGTGCCAAGGACCTTGGAGACCCACCAGCTACTTTGCCAACGGTATGGCTTTTATTATGTTCGGTTCACTAGTTTTGGTGAAAAGAAATCCAGTGAAAGGAATTATTTGACTACTGTTGCTTGAATAGATCAGGGTTGATTGGTTTCTAGAATTGAGCCCACCTAAATAGTTGGAGCTGGCAAGTACAATATATGAGGCAGTGGAAAATAGGATTAGGAGACTCAGGTTCATTCAAACATTCTTATATACATACCCTTAAACAGCCTTTTCTGTTCTCCCTTCCCTTTTCTCAGTATTATAGGGCAAGAGGGAGGTATATGCCTTCTGCATTAGGCTCTTTTCCTCACAGTGTATCTGGTGGCTGAGTATTGTTAGTCAAACTGTACAAACTGCTGAGGGAAATGGATATGGTGTGCTGTTTAGGTATTGAATATATTTTGCTAGGCTAGTGGATTAATAGTAGATGCAGTGTAGGATACCACATGCTGTATGCTTAGATTTGTTTGTATTTTTCAGTAAATAATAGAGAAAGCTCTCTTTCTATGCCTTCAGGTCAGCCTTCTCTCCTGGCAATTGCCTAAACTAATCCCTGGGTTTTTGAGGACAAGATTTTCAGAAGTGGTTTTTCCTTGGCTTCTTCCCAGGTCTAAGCAAATAATTGCCTAAAGGCACCGAGTTGGCTTCATAGCTAAGGCAAGACTAGATTTCATGATTTCTAGCCTAATACCTTTATACATACAACAATACTGAAAACTGCACACTGTGTCATGTCTACTGACATTGAGTCAGTATTTAATATTTCTGCTGGGGAAAATATGTGAAGCCTAAGATAATCAAATTCTAGTTGAATTAGATATTTCAGTTAATTTGATGACAATCCAGGTATGAGTTTGAGGGACTCTTCTCAATTAAGTAAAATGTTGATTGGCTCATTTGGAACTTTCCCTCTATGACACAGGTTTGTAGAAGTGAATTATGAGCTCGACAGATTTTTGTGGATTTCATACTGCATTCTAACAGAAGAGTGCGTAAAGAATAGGACTGCTTTCACCTTGCAATAATTGAAAAAAACAAATTTTGAGCTGTATCAGCAAATTCATCAGGAAAATGACAGGGTGTCTGTCCACGAGCTGATGCTTAAATGAATGTGGATCATGCAACAAAATAATAGTAAAATATTTATAAATCTACATCAAAATGACTGAAGCAGGGGAAACTGCATTTTGGAATATCCAAGTTAAAGCTGTGACATGAACTCAGTTGAAATACGGTGTGGCATCACCTTAAGTTTGTGTAAGACAGCACAATCATATATTAGTTGTAATTCTGTAAAGAGAAAAGAGAAAACATTTGTTGGAAGTTGTCATTGCTAAAAGAAGTAACACCAATTACTTTGTTAGTACTTTAAATCTTTACAAATTTTGTAATAAAGATAGTGAATCCTGGCTTAGTCTGTTCACTAGACAGTACACACTATACCATTTTATGTGTTGTTTCTTTACCAGAATCTCTTAATCTACCAGTAGGATTTAAATGAAGCTCAGTTCACTTGTGCATCACAATACTATAGCAGGAATCTTCACACTTGGCAAGTTTAAGACCTGTGGACTTCAACTCCCAGAATTTCTCCTCCAGTCATGTTAGCTCAAGAATTCTGGGAATTGAAGTCCACAAGTCTTAAAATTGCCAAGTTTGAAGATCCTTGTACTATAGGGTTACAGCTACTTCTAAAAAATAATTTTTTTGCTGCTCTAACTGTAATTTTATAGTTGATTGTAACTATTGCAATGTTACTAATCATCATGTTCATGCTTGTTTTCATGTCTTCATTCCAAGCAGGTTTTAAAGCCTCGTGTAATTAAAGCCGGTAGGTGGCCCTCAGGATTAATTCTTCTGGGACAAACTTTGCTACCTCCTCTGCAATTGTTATTATTTTCCTTCCATTATATTTTGTAATGTATGTTGATATAGGATGCGTCCACTGATGGCTTGTTATTATGTAGTTAACCAATAATATCCATCTCTCAGGGAGATAGGCAGTTTAAAAATGTGAAAAATAAATAAATGAATTGAATTATTATCATGTTCCCTCTAACATGATTTTTCAGCTGCTGCTTTTTCCAGTCTTGGAAAAGGCAAGTGCCTGAGGAAATGTTAGACAGGTTTGTCATAGCTCAATAGTATGTATATGACATGGATATTTTTGGATATTTAAATCCTGAAAAACATACCAACAATGAAAACAGAAGGCCTTCTGGTACTACTGAATTATATCAGAACTTGCACTGAAGATAGGGCTCGGGTATCTGAGGATCCTGAAAACAACTTTATGATATTGCATACCAAAACTTGTAATGTAAAAATATTCAGATTTTGCTCTTTCTCATTAGAGTTGGGAGAGTTAGATTACTATACCCTGATAAGAACCTTATTAACAGAATAGACAGTATCTACAGTTTTGTGCACCCATTCTTGGGAATAAAACCTATTGTAGTTTATGGTATGTTACACATTAATTCATTTGCACATCTGTGTATATGTATGATTGTGTTTTTGCAGGTAGGCACGAATCTTACGGATCTCCCAATAGGAAAGAAGATCACAATTCGAGAGCTAGGAGGATGCATGGGTCCTATCTGGTCCAGTTACTATAGCGACTGCCATGCTGTCTTGGTGAGTGTTCATTAATGCATTATGTATAATTCAGTGGTATTTTTCTAATAAGTGTTCAAGATTATAACCAGTTTTTATGATGTTAGAATAATAGTTTGAGGTCCTGCGAGCCATGGTGGCACACGAACAAATGAAAAAATGAAATCCAGACATACTGTGAGAAGAGATCCAATTTTATTCCCAAAAACAAAGAGATTTGCTTTTGGGGGTAGATTCCATAAGAAATGGGGTCCAGAGGCTTGGTTTTATAGGGGGACTAGTCCTTGATGCGTTCAAAGGGGTTTGTGAACATGCTGGTTTTAACACATGTCCTTCCTGTGCAGATGTGTAGATGCTCCTAATTTGGGTTTTGATCCTGTGTGAAATCCATAAAGGAAGATCGTCCTCAGATATGTGGATTTCATATCTATATATGGTGTCTCCTTTTATCCTGGGGGGATTCCTGCTCTTTTAAGGAGTCAGGGAAATGCTTGTCTAAGTGTTAGGATTGTATGGTTATTCTGGGGCTGGTCAGCAGTTAAAAGTTCAGAGGACTGCTAAAGGGAGTGGGGCGCAGAACAGAGGCCTTTCAACTTCCGTCAATGATACACCAGTTTTTTCTGCTTATATGGACACAAAGGGCTGAGAGATGGTGCTAAACAATGAAATGTTTTTTTGAAAGGGAGAATTAGGTCAGATTGGAAGAATACTACTTAGAATTATTTTTGGCAGAGTTGAAGATTCTGGGTGATTATGGTCATGCTTATCCTGTAATATTGGAGTTGGACAAAAAAAATGTGCAGTGTTATAAATTGGAAGGATGGTGAAGATAAGTGAGCAGATAAATGGCAGATGCTTGACAGAAAAAGGGAAGAAGTAGAGCAGCTACTTACTGGGCTAGAGGGTGTCCAGGTCTTTAGCTGGCCTACTGGTACTGTACATGTATCAGTGCAAAGGTTTGTCGGCTGTAATGCAGTCCTTGTAAAACACTTCTTGTCCACAACTTGATGAACGTGCCTCTCTAGTGAACTGTATATTTCCAAAACCTGGTTGTGCAAGGGTGGTGACATTGCTTTCTCAGAAATCTGCTCTCTGGGTTAAAGATCCAGGCAATGGTAGTATAATATTAATCTTAAATGGCACCTTGTGATCAGGGACTCTCGCCTTCTCAGGGTGGCGAATGCTTCGTAAGGGCCCTCAAAAGATACTTGACTTTGAAAACAGACAAGCCTGAATCATGTTATAAAAGAAGGGCTTGGGGATCGGATTTCTGTTGGTGAGCAACTTCTCATTCTTAGGCCTGACTTTCGTCAGTGTTTTTGATTCCCTGATTGAACTTTGGATTTGTACAAGAGTATACTTAGCTCTGATTCCTGGAACTTGGATTTGTCTGCATGGAAACAAGGCTCCTTGTTTATTTTTTGTGGGCTTTCACATTCCTGTACTGTTGTAAGATTTATAGCTACCACAAAACCTCTGACCCCTTTCAGTCTGACCTCTTGCACTGGCACAGACATTTAGGGAACGGAAGGTAGAAAGATCTATACAGGTAGTCCTCAACTTAGGACCTCAGTGGAACCCAGAATATTGGTTGCAAGTTGTTGCCGTCATATAAACAACATAAACCTCGTGACCTAACTTGATTTTGTGATTGTTTTATTGCAAAGTGAGTCATCACTGTTGTTAAGTGAAACACATGCTTGTTATGTGAGCTACATGGTCATTAAGCAAATCCGGCATATCCATGGGTGTTTTTTGCCATTTTCCCCCCAGAAAATAGCAAAAACATTGTAAATCAAGATCACATGACCAGATAATGCTGAAGCTGACCATAAAGATGAGCTGATTGCCAAGCACCTGAAATCCAATCACACAACCGCTAGGTGAGGGGGAATGGCAGTCGTAATTTCGAAGATGGGTCATGAGTAGATTTTTTTGAAGTCTGTCATAACTTTGAACAGTGTTAAATGACCAGTTGTAAGTTAAGGACTATCTGTATGCTGCTCCTATGACTATTTAACACAATTTTTTGTGAAGGCTACTCTGATTCATCAAAATCTTGGTTCTTTGTGGGTCCATCTAGCCATGTTACCCGGAATGGGTTCTATCCTTTGAACTTTAATGAAATTGATAGGGTGCTCTTTTGGTTGTCCCTTGTGTGCTTCATCCCTCTTGGTTCCTTCGGGTATCTGGAAGAGAGGGAACAGATTGGGTGAGAGAGGAAATTAAGGTCAGCTGCCTTGAAAGTGGCTGTGGAGTGTCTCCTCAAGAGGCTCTCCCTGGACCCATTTGCATTTGACACTACCACTTTGTCTCTATTCTTCCTTTTGTGGGGAGGGGCATGGTTATTAAAAGTGTGGTTGGTGTGCAGCTACAGAGTGCAGCTCTAGAGCGGAGGTGCCAAACCCAAGGGCTGGATGCAACCCACAGTACTCCCAAAGGAAGCCCCAACCATATTAAAGTGCTCTAGAATATCTTGCCCCTAAAATTTGTTCAGTTCCCACTTTATTAAGCTTTGAGTGACTACTGAATATAGCATTATTCAAGAAAGTTTTTGATTTGTTGCAATTTATTTATTGTTTCTGTTTGCTGGTTCTTCTGTTCTTCACGTTATTTTAACTTTGGCGTATTGTTTATTTTAAATTTATAATGGCGCCATGGGTACTTTGTTACAATTAAGATTTTAAACTGCTGAAAGTTTTTTTGCTATAAGTGGGAAAAAATGTCAAATAAATACAGGTAGTCCTTGATTTACAACTCTTCATTTGATGACCATTCTAAGTTATAACAGCAATAAAAAAGTGACTTGATCATTTTTCAAACTTACGACTGTTACAGCATCCCCATGGTCATATGATCAAAATTCAGGTGCCTGGCAAGTGACTCATATTTATGACAGTTGCTCATATTATGGGGTCATGTGATGACCTTTTGCAAACTTCTGACAAAGTCAGTGGGGAAGCCAGATTCTTTTAACAACTTTGTTACTAACTTTACAACTACAGTGTATATTTTTTTAAACTATTCTAGATGTTTTGGGACATGTCAATTGGATTTAGAATCTCAACTTATATTTAATAGATTGTATGTATCTAAATGTTCCAGGCTATTGTTGCTAAGTAAATTCCCGACTCTTATTTCTTAGGCTAGAGCGTTTTATGTATTAGATTTATATGGTGCCCGTCTCACATAAAAAGACTCTAGATAGCTAATCCAATGAAAACGTCAACATAATAAAAATGATTATGTGCCATCAAGTCAGTGTTGACTCTCGACTCTCAGCAACCACATAGATTCAAATTGTCTCCAGGGTGATCATTCCCTAATACGGTCTTTCAGATTGTTTTTGTTCAACACAAAATGCAGTACATAAAAACACACGAGGAAAGCAAAAACGAAAAATGGCAAAGGCTAAACCAATCAGTAACAAATTTGCCCAGCTCATGATCACAACTACTTCCCAGCCACATATGTGAAAGAAAAGCCAGGTCTTAAGGATTCAGCAGAAACTAGCTAGGTTTGGGGCTGATCTAATATTGGGAGGAATGGTGCTCCAAAAGGACAGGCAATGCTACAAGATGACACATCTCTTAGGTCCTGCCAGGCGATGCTCTTTAATCAATGGGACATGGGGAATATCCCTTCTGCCAGATTTGGTGGGACTATTGGCATTCCTTTATAAGAAAATATAATTCTAAACCTGTATGTAATATATAGGGTAAACAAATTTCTTATACTTAGGTATGCATATATTATATTTAGCATTCACTCTTTAATCCATTTATTTGGGGTGGAGTTGGGTGACTGAATGGAGCTGAGTGTTTAATGTGTTTAATAGCCGGATACCCTTCCTGACACCTATGAGAATTCTGCATAGGTGTCAGGAAGGGCATCCGGTCAGCTCCATTCAATTGCCCCAACTCCACCCCGAATAAAAGGATTAAAGAGTTGTAAAAATGTAGTCTTACAGCCTATTGTCTATAAAATTGTCTATTTGGGAGAATTTCAGATTGTACTAAATTTTTATGTATTTCTAGTTTTGCCATGGCAAACGGCACAAATAGTGAAATAAACAAACAAGCTTATAAGGTACTTTAGGATATTGTTTAAGTATCTGTCTCCCTGTCTCCTGCAGTATATGATTGATGCTGCCAACCCTACCCAGATTTCCGCATCCTGTGTCCAGCTTCTGTCCGTCCTTTCTGCTGAACAGCTAACATCAGTTCCTGTCCTCCTCATTTTCAACAAAATGTAAGACAGTTAAGCTGAATTTCCACACAGAAGACTTACATTAGTGGCTTTTATCAGCTCAGCAGGCAAATAGAAGTGGGTGTGTAACTATTTTTTTTTCTCACTATTCTGAATCCTAGAGACTTACCATGCTACATGTCCCTGGTGGAGATGAAGTCATTATTCCGAATCCAAGATATCATTGCTTGTGCCAAACAGGTTATCACGGTGGTTGAGATCAGTGCACGAGATGGCAGGGGCTTATCTGATGTAATGAAGTGGTTTCAATCCACCCTGCATGATTGAAGCTGGAATTTGGAAACGTCAGCTGAAGTGTTTCCTGCAGGCAGCGGATCAACTTTGCTATTACAATCTTTGATGTAGAAAAATGTCATTTAAATTATTCAGTGGATTGCCTCTTAACTGGCAAATTGGATTGTTGCTACTGCATGCAGATGCATTGAAAGGGAATGCAGCTTCTAATGGTAAGCCCAGTAATGATATACAAAGTATTGTATCATTTCCTCTAGATGAACATTTGTAGAGTTGAAATAATGACTGGTAAAATATGCTGTAACAGAGGTACCAATCAGGTTTGTAGGCAGCATGAAATTTAATTTCACTCATGTTTCTGTGTTTTGTATGAAGTCAGATTTGATGGAAGTACAAAGCAAACAAAATCCTGTTCTATAACACACTAGAAATCCAGATTGCTCAAGTCTGAGTACCTTTTTGTGTGCATAGTCTCTTGTGTTTTAGTTGTCAGTAGTTTTCTACAATGATCTAACCAAAAATTCAAACCTAAGAAGTATTAACTTGATGGGGTTTGGCAGATAGCTTTTGCCAATGATGCAATCTCTGCTGTTCCTCAGCTAGAAATCCCATCTAGACCAGTGTGCAGGGGCAACATTGACCTACTGTATTAAATGCCATATACAATGTTTGCTGTATTGTATACTATTGGTTTTCTGTGAGATACATTAGAAATGTGTTTATTCTGTTGTGTTTCCTTGACTTTGATTTCTTCTCACAAGAATGTCACATTCTGGGATTTCAGGTTTTTGGTGAGCTCATACCATCATGTGAGCCAGATTAGCTGAGTCATGAATCACCAGCAAAAACATCAGTAGATTATAGTTGAATTATAAAATGGATATGCAATGTAGCAGTTCTACAGTTCTGCACAACTAATTACTTCTCTCAACCAATTAAGTTTAAGATGTAACGAGATGAGAGCCTTGTCAATATTGGATGTTTATCTGTTTAAACCTCAGCTCTTCTATCACTCTTTTCACTTAAACTTTTATCTTCTCAGCTTTCCATGTTATTGTCTTGTGATATCAGTGGCCTCTATCAGAGCCACTAACCAGTTATTTGAATGCATTTATTTACTTATTCGAATTCAGTAACTCTCAAGTCTTTGAATGGTTTATAAGAAACCAAACATATACTAGGGTTAAAAGTATAATAAAGATTACTTACAGAATGAATGCTGGCATTCAGTTCGGTTGCACCTACTGCTGGACAATCACAAAGGTGGTTTTACTAGAGGTAAACACAGATGACATTCTCGTCCTGTCTCACAAAATGGGCAGATTCAACCCATAGAACTGACTCTCCTATCTCATCATGCTATATCCCTCTGTGTTCACCCTCCATAAACACCCAGTTTAATGGGAGCTTTAATTGCACTGAATTCCCAATACCAAAAGCCAGTCAATTATGAACTCAATGTATCTGAATGCTATGAACTAACCTATTTTATGCTGCCATATTTTCTTACTGGGTTTTTTATGACAGTGCTCTAAATTAGACAATTAAATATTTATCTGAAATAAATATTTCATAGAATAAAAACTACTGTGTCAATGATTAAGCAGCTCTTACAGCATCATTCTGTACAAGGCTCATCATTACTTTCATTTTATTGAAATTTACTAGTAGCTTTGTTCTAGTAATTTGTTCTTTAGAAGATATTTAGTTTGCAGGCCAAAATTATAGTCTCCCTGAGGAATTAGCTTGGGCTCAGAGAATAAGCAAAAAAGGGCTGGTAAGGGACAGCCACTGACCTCCAAGAAGTAGAGCTGATGGTAGTCCTGTTACATTGCTTTCTGAACCTCTGATTCGGAAACACCTTTCATCATTGATTGTTAAAGTAGCATTTCCAATTGTATCAATTCAAGCAAGCACAGACGGTCCTTAATATTCAACATGGATAGATTGGAGATATGACATGTCCAGAAATGAGATTAGTTCTGATGCTCCACTGCCAGTTAACATGTTTGGGAAAATATTTTCCACAGCTGGAATAAAGGGCATGAGATTTTATTGTGGGATAACATTCATGTACCATCTAGTGAGACTCCTTTTCTTAATTTCTTAATTTCCATAAGGCATTAGAGCAGCTAGAATTTTTCAATGAGTTTTGAGCACATGGCTTAGATTGCAACACTTTTATTTTAAAAAAAAATCCTTTGGTTTCACCATGACACACACTCTCATATCTCCTTTCACTCACCTGACTCTTATGGCTCAGACAATTCTAAAAAGAAAGTTTCAGATTTTATTTACTGCCTGGAACATAGAAATTGTGAAAAACGGCCCGTAACTGTATACCTTAGTTCCATAAAGAAAATAAAAGATGAGGTAGCAAAGAGTTAAGATTTCCTCTACAGATTAGGGCTCAACCTGAAGTGAAAATCCATTCAAAGGATATGAGTTAAAACGTAGGCATGCACAGCCATGTTGGAGTAACTGCACACTATGAGAACTTAACAAATGACAACTAGTCACCATCATTTAGGTAATTAGTAGCAAATGAATTAAAAGGGAATATAATTTACAACTAGAGAACTTTTTAAAGGCAGTCATTTTTAATAATATGAAGCCATGATGTCCTGTGTAAGAAAGATTTCTTTCCAGTAACTCTACACTTTCCATGTGAGGTCACAGATTTCATAATCCTGGCAAAACAAAGTACTTAGACCATTGCTCATTATAAAATATAAATCTGACTGCTCTGTTATAAAAATTGTCTGTAAAAATCTTCAGGAAGTCTGGAAGCTCTTAGTCTGGTTCAGGTAAGGTTACCATTTGGCTGAAGACAAACTGGAATGGCCAGCAAACAGAATATAACTTCTTCAGCTAAAGGTAGATGACATTCACATACAGGAAGTGAAGGGAGTCAACGTCAGATGTCTTTAGCAGCATGAACATGTTCATCAAACCTTTTCTGGATAGTCCCATATCTGTTTTCCTTTTCCTAAGAAATCCTTCAGCAAAAGGTTCAATTGGTACATTCACTGGTAAAGATGCTAAGGGAAAATGGATCTGTAATGTAATAAGAAAATTAGTGATGATTTTAGAGTCAATGTAATGAACAATACATTTCCTATTGACAACACATTTTTCAACCCTTAACCTTGCCTTTTTACATTTTGTTCTCAAAATACCAAGTTGCAAAATACAGTCCAACCTCATAAAATCCCAGACATATACAATACTTGAATTACTGTATAACAGGGGTGGGCAACTATGGCCCTTTTATGAATTATGGACTTCAACTCCCAGAATTCCTGAGCAAGCCATGCTAGCTCAGGAATTTTGGGAGTTGAAGTCTACAAGTCATAAAGGGGCCATAGTTGCCCACCTCTGCTGTATAATGTCCTCTAGCATCCTATGTGTTGAATAGAGGATCCAAAGTTCATACTTATGAATGTTGCAGTGTATCAGGGTCAGGTGATCCCCTTTTGTGACCTTCTGACAAGCAAAGAGAAGCCAGATTCACTTAGCAACCAGGTTACTAAGTTATCAACCGCAGTGATTCACTTAAGAATTGTGGCAAGGAAAGTAGTAAAATGGGGCAAAACTCACTTAACAACATAAACTTCGGGCTCAATGGTGGTCGTAAGTTGAGGAATACCTCAACTTAACCTCAACTTTAACCTAGCCTAAACTTCTGCTATAATGTGTTCCCCCTCTCCCAGACTCCCATCCTTTTTTTCCATGCCTGCCATACTTCTGATGGAAGGGAGTACTTTCAGTCTTGAGCCTAAATGGAAGAAAAATGTTATTAGGAAAAATGTTGTTAGTCATAGCAAGAATTCAGCATCCACTTGTTCATGTTGTTGCTTAGGTCATGTTCCTTCCAGAGAAAGTTCCTGCAATCATGGCAGCACAATATCTTAAGGTGGATATTGGGGATAGTCTCATGAGTGTGTGATAATGACAAAAACAAGACCTTCCTCTGAAATCTATTTGCTTCAGAGCTTGTAATTTTCTGCCCAAAATTTCGTAATTTGTTATAGTATTGTACACTGAAGGAGGGGGCTTAGAAAAACCCATAACTGCACTTGGTATTTTGGTCTACTGAAAGAGAGAAAACAGAAAGCAACTATTGCAGAATCCCAAAACAAAACTGTAACATATGAGGCTACTAACTGTGAATTTAGCATAGGCTTCTGCTAGTTTGAGCAAAGCTTTCAGCCAACTGCTTGGTCCCCTTGTTTGGCATATCGCTGTCCTGTCCTATCTTGTCCGTATTAGTTCCAAATAGCCTTACCTCATTTTCACCCTGTTGTACTTTCATTTTTCATATATAATATGAAGTCTTTGAATGAGAAACTTCTTGTCTTCTCTTTCCTGGAATAAGAAACACATTTAAGATGAGCAGTAGGAAACTGACTTTCTTAACAGAATGTGAAAATCATGAACGCTGAAAAAAATACAATGTAGGAATGCGAATTGTTTTTTATGCTAGAGTTGATTGCTAAAAGTTTAGGATTGGCAAAATTGGTATGAACGGAAATGTCATATTGCAGTTCAGGTACCTAGAGTAGGAGGTCCATTTTATCTGTAGAGCTTTGAGCACCAGACAGTTTGCAGCCCTCTCCTTTCAACTACCTAGCTACAACTAGTGTAAGTTGTGCCATGCAGGAAGACAAGCTCTTTTTTCTTAAAAAAGTCACCAGGTAAAGCTGAATTGAGGGACTGTAATTAAATTGGTGAATATTACCAACTTTGGCAATTGCTATTTAGTTACCGATTTTGGCTGAACATTTTTGAGGAAATCAGTAAGTTAATAATTAACTGTATAATTCTGTTCTTTTTTTTTCAGGACAAATAAAATGTTGCAACATTAGAAATGAATATTTTTGTTAGCTGCCATATAACAAAGTACAAGAGAAAACCAAACAAACTTTTTTTAAAATTAGAGATTGTTACAAACGTAGGAAACAGTATTGCCTGAGAATAAACACAGTAAAATCTCTTTAAGATTTTTTTTGTTTAAAAATATTTTAAAACAGATTTAGTCTCCATTTTTTAGCCAGGGTCATCATGTAACTCATAATAGATTATTCCTGCCTAAAATTGTCTGTTTAGATAGAAATACTAAAAATGGATAAGGATATACAAAATGCCTACAAATGCTAGGTTTTTTTTTTTTTTGGAGGGGGTTGAGAGGGTTGTGTCCAAGTATGTTTCCTCTGGAAATGGAATACACTGGACTTGTTTTAGATAGAAACGTTTCAGGGGAGAAGATAAGAAAGGGGAAAAGCCAAGGACACTGGTAGTAGCTTTGGGACTAGAGGAAATAAGGGCTCTGGAAATGTGGAATTGTGTAAATGATGATATAAATTCTGCTCATCATGCTTCCCCACCTTCTGGGGGAGATGGCCTGCATAACAATTTAATAAATAAAATCAATAAAAATAAATCCAGATCATTATATTTGCTTGTTTCAAACGAGTGCATACATAATCTCAGTTTATGCAGGTTTTAAATATTTGCTTTAGGCTACGGTACCTTCTATATTTCTGGTAGGGTTTTTGTTGTCATCCTTTTAATTACTAATGTTTCTTTTTTACTCTATGTTTAAATTACGATTGTTTAAAAAGGGGAACCACTCCCCTTTAGTACTCACATTGGCAATCTGGCTCTTTAGTATTGAAATGATACTCCGTAGACCCTTTATCATCTCAATGGTGAAGTAGATCACAGCACTGTAAAACACAAGGCTGGATAATGTGATATTTATCCTGACAAATTAATTAACACATAATGAAAAGAACAATGTGTGCTCCAAAAAGGCTAAGAGAATTGGCAAGGGAAAATGGCTTTGCCCAGTATTTTCAGTCATAGAACAGGAAACATAGTCCTTTAGAAGAACAAGAGGAATCAGTTATCTATGACCAGATAAGTCAGCACATCTAAAATACGTATATCTTTTGGTGGGTATCTTGAGACCTCTACCCACTGCTTGTAGAGAGCATTTAGAGTGGCCTTCAAGAACAGGAGGAAGAGCCAATACTAAGGCAATGATCAGACAAGCCCAGTTTGAGCCCACTGCAAGGAACGAGTTTGAGTACATATCTCAGACAGGCTCCTTCAGACTAAGATAAAGTGAGGAAGCACATTTAGACTTGCAAGAATCTGTTACTGTAGCTATTACAATCAAAATAGTACTGACCTACGTGGCATGATTTCTTACTATGGTCTATCTTATAGGGCTGACATTGTGAGACGCAGGTATATAAAATATGCCACCTCGCTATGTGTGTAATTATATAGTAGTTACTTTGTGAACAAAACATCAACGGTTCAGCAAAAATAAACTTTTTTCTAGTTCCTGAATTTTCATTAAAAATATAAACTCTCAACAAACAAAACAAAATTGTAAATGTTAAACGCAACAGCAAATGTTAAGATCTTAATAGTATAATGTAGGGGTGTCAAACTCGATTTCATTTAGGGCCACATCAGGGTTGTGTTTGATCTTGGGGGGTTGGGCGGGTGCATGGCCAGAGGCTATGGCCAGCTTGATGTCACTTGTCAAGGCTCCATTTTTGACCGCAATGGCCTCCTGCAGCTCTCTGTCAGCGAAACCAGAGCATGCAGCCTCCTTGGGCCTCCGTTTTTGCTGGCAGAGGGCTGCAGGAGGCCGTTGCAGCCCAAAACAGAGCCTGGGCGTGCCTTGCAGGGCCTCCCTGAGCTCTGTTTCTACTGTCAGAGGCACTGCGGGCTGGTCCCTCACTATTTCCAGGGTGTTCCAGTGAGCCAAATCTAAGCACCTTAAGTTTGACACCCCTGATAAAATGTATCTTACATCATACATTTTAACATTAAAAATGATCTCAACTAAATTTCAAGTATTTTACTTAGCATTGCATAAACTATTCAACAGAGAGGGCTTCTTGATGTTAAAAAAACTTACTTAATACTAAATATAATTATACTTGTACTATTTTTTACTGCAGAGATCACCTCATATTCATAATTTTCTATGTAACCGTGCTGCTTTATTAGCCTTAGAATATTTCTTCTTTTTACCGTAATAAATTCAAAACTCTGGATTTCATGTTGAGTAATTAGTTTAATTCTGAATCACACTGTGAATCAGGAATTACTAATTTAACATTTACCACAATTACAAATATGTAATTTAAAGATGTATAAAAATAGCAATAGCACTTAGACTTATATGCCGCTTCACAGTGCTTTACATCCTTCTCTAAGTGGTTTTACAGAGTCAGCACATTGCCACCACAATCTGAGTCCTCATTTTACCGACCTCGGAAGGCTGGAAGGCTGAGTCAACCTTCAGCCGGTGAGACTCGAACTGCCGAACTGCAGGCAGCTGGCAATCAGCAGAACTAGCCTGCAGCACTGCATTCTAACCACTGTACCACCATGGTTCTTAAAGTTATACATATTATATTTATTAATTTATTTTTTATTAAAAGTTTACTAATAAGTAAACTAATAAGTAAACTGACAGTTCATTCTATAACTCTTTACTAATACTGTACATAATTTGTACTTTTTAAAATATCAATTGTATTTTATATATCTTCCTATAATATAGTCTCCATTTTACTTTTCCAAATCATTAATAATTTTCTATTAAATATTTCCAGTCAACTTTTTAAGGGTTTTTACATTGTTTGGAAGAAGACAAATTAACACTTTTTCATGAACTTCCTAGAAGTTCATATAAAACCAAACTAAACATTATATTAAACTAAAATCTATGGCAAATTATACCTGTTTGATTTGCATACCCAGCAGCAGAAACATGCAATCAACTTATACATAGTATTCAATCACTCTATTGCATGATACATACATCCGCAAAAATATTCTATGCACCATGGCTAACCAGTGTTTATGATTTTCTAGGCTTACATAAATAAATTTGTCATTTCAACTTACATCAACATTGCAATGATTAACAACAGGAAATAGGAAGTTTGGAAGAGGTTTTGATGGATCCAGGTAAACCAAGTGATATTTGGATTGGATTCTTCCAGCTTTAGTACCCATACCTTCCAAGAATCATAGATGGTATCAAAAGTTTGAAAAGGTCCACACATTTCTGATGGTTTTATTCTGTATGGGGAAAGAGAGGCTGAGTATCAAAATGTCAAGCAAAAATATTTCATGTAACTACCACATTTAATTCTTCATTTTACAGATTTATATGTAATCTATATTGCTTACTATAAAACCAGTGTTTTCAGTATTCATTAAACACAATTTATAGCATCAACGTATAAGAAGCAATTTCCCTTTTAACATATGTTCCTTCTTTATTTAACAATGTATAAAAGATGTGCCAAAGGTGCTTTTTCTAAAGGTAACAGGATTTCATTTTTTTCTTAAACTTTTCACTTCTCATCCAAGAAGCTTCTTCAGTTCTGACAGTCAGAACTGAAGAAGCTACTTGGATGAGAAGTGAAACCTCTTCAATGAAAAACAAAGTCCAGTTGCCTTTTGAAAAAGTACCTTTGGGATAACCATGACCTGGATGGCTGAGAATCTCCATAGACATATATAAAAGATGCAGCATGTGCAACTATGTGTGAATTGGAGTTCTGAGAATGGAAAATAAGACAGATCTAATTGTGACATCTCCACTAACGGAAAGAGCGATTTGTAGCAGCTTAAGATACATTTTTCAAAAGAAAAATAAGTGCTTTGTTAAAATAACATCATACTAAAAATTGCAATGACAGAATAATCCCAGGGTCACTTTATCAGAAGCGCAGTCTATAGTTTCCTGACCTGACAACAGATCGTGTTAAAATGGTTCTGGTGTGAGCACCAATGAACTAGCATTGGTAAAAGACTGGCCTCTTAGGAGGAAAGGAACACTTTTTTTGGTGACAAGGTAACTTTTATATGGGATGGAGATACAAGTTCTACAACGCAGTGCCGGTAAGAGCTCCTTTCTCCCTAAAAGCACCAAAACTGGATCTATTTTGTGTCAGACAAAGGATGACAGTAGGGAGATTACAGAAATGTGAAGGAGGAAGTTATGATTATTTGATCTGAAATATTTCACATCTGGAATGTAAACGCAAGGTTATATTGCACGGAAAATTTACTTACGCCCAGATAGTATAGGAGAGGAATATGGAGGCGCCCAGGAATGAAGGGAAACATAGCAAAGAGATGAAGATGGTGCTCATGTGAGAAGCACGCCAGGGTTTACTGGGACATTGACAATTTCTCATCAAGCTGACCTAAGATAGATTCATAGGAAAATTCATGGATTTTTACTTATTCCTAAGAACTGTAATTTTTGAGTAAAGCTTACATGCAGTATATACGTATGTTGAAACAGGTGAACTCTAGACAATAAATGCTTCTCCTCTGCTTGAAGGGTAACTTAAACTCTACAAAGGAATAAATAATGTAGGGTGATTTTAAGGAAGGAAAAATAAACCATGGCCAAAATATTTTCTCCTGTAAATGTAACCTCCCAAAGCATTTTTAAAAACTTATTTTACAAAAGAATACTCTAATTTACATCTCAAAGTAACAGTGCCTTTCATTCACTGCTGCTTCTGAATGTTGTTGAATGTGTCTGGGTGTGAAATAAACATCTCCCTCTTGGCCCAGAACTCCTGATGGATTTCCATTTCTGTAAATGGTCTTCTGGTCAACATAGTTCCTCCAATTAAATGTGATTTGCTAACTTTTCTATCCTGACCGGGGAAGGGCTCTAATATTGCATCCACTTCCACACTCCTGTCCTTTGTCTATGTATGCTGCCATGTGCCTCAGAACTAAGAAAAATGGCAACTAAATTACCTTCTTAACATAGAACAACAGGAGCAATTTGAGGATTTGGACCACAGGAAGAAGTGGGGCAAAGAAGACGCCAAGCCTAGGAAAAAAATTAAGAAGATGAAGAAATGTTATTATATTACTTAGCTGTTATTTCATGAAGATGCAATACAAGATACAATTCTGCACTTCACCCCGCTTGCTTAAGCAGTCAAAAGCTTTGATTTAGAGATGGAGATGGATGGACCACAGAAGCCAATGATAATGCATTATAGTGAATACCAAGGGTCTGTCTCACATACATGTCTTCATGAGGTTAATCCAATGTATTTTTTAAACTAAAATATATAAATGTGTTGGGAAGTATTTCGAAAACTTTGACAAAGGCAGGGTACAATTATTTTAAATAACATGCACACAAGGGTTCTAAAGATCAACATACTTTGAAGCTTGTAATCGGTTTTTTTTGTATAAGGAACAAAACAGGAAACAACCAACAGAAGGAAAAGAAAGAGTCTCACCAGGTTAGGGTTTGTCCATAAATCAAATCTAGCACATTTCTAGCAATGTCAAATTCAGGCCTCTGTTTACTTTGCAACTTCTTTTCCAATATGATCCTGAAAGAAGAGGGAAGAGGCCTAGCTTACAAATTCAAAAATCAATTTTGGTGTTGCTATAATTTATATATAATCCTCTATTTTTATTCAAAATATCAAACAAGTCATTTCATTTCTGGAATACTTGTCTATTAAGTAAAAAAGATACATTTTTTAGACCCTCAAAGCTTCCACTTTAGGAGTTGACCCTTTATGTTGGTATTTATTTAGCTGGAGTAGCATCTTCATAAGGGGTTAACAACACAATTCTATTGGAGCTTACTCTGAAACAAGTCCAACAATTAGAATTATATTTAGGATGGCAGGTAGTTCTTTTTGAACAACTGCCTTGGATAGCAACAGGCTGGGAATACATGGTGATGAAAAAGCAACTTTGCAATGTTTGCTACATGCCTCTCTCTGTCACCTGTTGATCAGTACGATCAGCCAGTAAAGATTATCCTGTGTGTGACTTGTTTTTTTTTTCTACCCTTCCCTTCACACAGCAGAGATTGCCCAAACAAGCTCTCTTTTCCACAGCTGCTTTTCTAGGCAGTGCAACCCACCTTAGAAAATGCTAATGGAATGCCAACAAGGTCAGCTCTGTGACCTTAATTAATCAGCTTGCCTGAATTTAATCAGTTTCACACTGAAGTTTTTTGTTTGCCCCCTTTGCCTCCTATGGCTGGCACTTCAGCTACAGTAATCCCCCTTTAACAACCATTCATTCAGCAATCGTTCGAAATTACGATTGAACAAATGATTTTTATGCGTCTTCAAAAGTATGGCTATTGCAGGGCCTCACTGTTCATAGGATCAAAAGGGCAGAGATGGGGAAGACGGAGCGGGTGGGCGGGAGAGCTGAAGCAGAGGCCAGCTTGGAAGGGCAGAAGCACAAGATCCTTACCTAAGAACCACAAGCAGGATTACTGAAACCGCTGTCACTAAGCAGTGCGGTCACATGACGTTTCACCTAATGACCTCATTGCTTAGTGATGGAAATTCCAGTCCCAATGAGGTTCACTAAGCAATGACTCCCTGTAGCGCATATTCCTTTTGGTGCGTCTTCCACCTTTTGTGCCTGCTTGCTCTCTTGTAATTTCTTCCTCTCCAATGAATGTAAGTACAAACATCAATTCTCTTCCTGCTAACTATCCCAGCGCCTGGGTGAGCACTCTAAAGGGCGGGGAGGGGGGAGTAAAAAGGCTATAAGATTTGCCCTTTTACCTGGCTTCCTCATAACTCAAAATGCTGAAAACTTTCCCTACCCATTTGGGTTCACCTGGCATTTGTGGTCCTATCCTTCTGATGCTGTAAAGCAAGGGAAAGTAGAAGTAAAATTGTAACCACTGTCACGTGATTTTTTTTTTACCGTTTTACTTAATGACCAAGTTGTTGGTCCCGATTGTGGTAATTAAACAAGAACTACCTGTATCAACTTTTTCTTCCCATTGCAATAAAGGATAAATCTCTTGCTTATTTTTAATGCCTGAAGATAGCATCCTATGCTCTTTCACAGCTACGTATCCTATATCCTTAATCTTATTCACAAACATGCATAACCAGAGTGGTACAGGCAGTCTTTGACTTAATCATCATTTGTTTAGGCACCATTTGAAGTTACAACGGCACTGAAAAAAGTGGCTTATGACCAGTTTTCACACTTACGACTGTTGGAGCATCCCCAGAGTCACATGATCCAAATTTGCCTGCTTGGTAATCGGCATGCCTGCATGGTAGCTGCACTGTCCCCCCAGGGTCACGTGATCCCCATTGTCAACCTTCCCAGTTGGTTTCCGATAAGTAAAATTAAGGTGGAAGCCAGATTCGCTTAACAACAGCAGGATTCACAAATGTCTTGCTTAGCAAGCGAAATTTTGGCTCAATTGCAGTTGTTAAGTTGAGACTACCTGGACTGCATATTTCTTTTATTATCTGTGTATTAAGATTTATGCATTTGTCATGCCCTTAGTAGAGTCAGAGTCCGAGGGAGAGGAGAAACAACCGACAGGGAGGGGAGGTGTGGCTCCGGAGGTTGTGGAGAAGGCTGGGGAAGGGCAGAGGCCAGCTGGGCAGTCAGAGGAAGAACCAGGGCCATCCCCTCTTCATCCTAGGACATACAGGGAGGAACAGAGAAGGAAACAACTTGGCTTATGAGAGAGGAAGTGGCCATGATTCCCCTCATTGGTTGTAGCTAGGGAGAATGGTATATAAGGGAGATGGTTATAACACAGGATTGCCAGAAGCAAAGCGTGTTTTATTTTGGGCTGAAGTTATCTTGATTGGCGTCCTTCCAACAGACTGTGCCTTGTTATTTCCTTGAAGTTGGTAATTACTTATCCTGGTCTGCTGTGGAATTTCCTTCATTGTAGTTTGTTTTGGTTTTTTTTTATTTCACCTCTATCTGCTCACTAAGTTTGGACTGTATTGTTTTCTTTTAAAGACTATTTTTGAGTAAGTTTTATCTCCAACTGAGAATTATTGAACAGTGGGGCCAAGTTGAAGGCATTAAAGGACATTTATTTACGTTTTGGATTTTATTACATTTGTGTTACATTCCAGGTCATCACAGTATGTATGTTGTCTACATTAAATAAGTACGTGCCCCACCACTTGATAGAATCAGGTGGAGAACACCTGATTGCATCCACATTATCTCCATTATAATTATTACCTCCATATCAGCTCTCCAAAGATGACATCCAGGAGAATGAAAATCAAATCCATAATCATCAAACGGTACAGCTCCTGCCCCACAAAGGTTTCCCAGCACTGTGGAAAGGTAAGCACCATTTGCATCAGAGCAGGCAGGTGAGCTTCTCTCCATTCAGCCTTCCCTACCACCTTTATGGAAGTCAAATGAACACCAAATAGCAGGCTAAACCAAACTCTCAAAGATGTAGTGCTCAGTTCTTTGATACCTGGTTACTCCTGGAGGAAGCTAACAATGCTTAATGTAGGATCTCTTTCAACATCTAGTGACTGTAGTCCTTCAGGCCAAAGTCCCACCATTCTATAAAACTCACAGCTTATTTGGAGCAGAAACTACCTTTTGAACAGAACAAAGCTTGAAGGTGCTTCTGGGTTCCCACAAAAAGAAGTGAATCATAATAGATCTTAAGGAGCTGTCCCTTTATGTTCTTTGTCTGTGTCATCTTGGCTTGCATTTAGGAGCAAGCTGCTGAGTTCATAAGAGAAGGGAACATTAAAAAGGCCTGGGCCAGAGTTTTGATTCAAAAGGAAGAGACTGAGGAGCCTATAATACAAACGAAAAGGCAGGGAAGCCCACTGTAACTTGGAATGTACTGCAACCAGCAAAATAGCAGAAGGCATCCACGAACACCAACTGCAGTCCGAAGACATGATGGACATTCTTTAATTTCACAACATATAGACAGATATAACCATAGTTTCAATTGGGAAAATGTGGCAATCCTAGATCAGGCTAAATCCAAAAATGCCAGGGAATTTCTAGAAGCCTGGTCCTCTGGACAAATCAACCATAATAGGCACATAGACATTAACAGCATCTACAGACTATGTAAAAGAGATAATCAACCAGCTCAAAAGAGAACAAAAAGACTCCAGTCCCTCTCCACCAGTAATCAGCATTCGGGTCAGCACAGATTAACTCCAAGGTTAACTTCAGAGCAACAATCAACAAACTGCCAAAGAGCCATCAGTAAACAGCCCGATCAAAGAATCTCTAAGACTGCCCCCACCCACACAGACAGACAAGACTCCAGAATATAGACTGACAAGAAACAGCACTCCTTACTAGCATTGATAGTGTTACCTAGTTAGGGTAATGAAACGTCTGCAAGAAACAAGCGAACTCAGGGAACACCAAGGATCCCTCAGATGGGAAGGCTCAGTGGCAACACTAGACCAGCGGATATCTATTAATACAGCACTTACAATTTAACTGTCCTCTTAACTGCGATATCACAGGAATGCTCAGATACCTCTCCCTGGCATGCAAATCTTCACAAGCCTAGTAAAAAAGGACTTGAACCCCATGATGCAATGCTGAATCTTTCCAGGGCTCTGAGCCCATCAGCTTCTCCCTTATCGGAAGCATTGCACTCACCAAGCCTATCAGAGCCATCCCTCCCTGCCATGCGGAAAGAATTTTATCGGCTTGGGAAGAAATGTCTTGCCTTGGAAAGAGCAGGCACTCCTTTTGGAACACTGTACTAGTGAATCTGGGTTGTAGTCTAAAGCTCAAAGAGTTTTTCCTCCGTAAAAAGGAAGCATAATTTAGTTTAATAATACTACAGAATTGGCTGTATTAAAGATGGGTGTTTGGCAATCTCCCAATCTCTTTGTTACTCTCTCCAGATGCACTGCAAATTTGGGAAGCCTGATTACCAAAAACTAACACGGAAACACGGAAAATTGTATTCTCGATTCCCAGATAAGCTTAGCCAAGTTTTAACAAAAAGTGCCCACAAAGAAAAAGGAACCGTCTGCTCCTTCCCATATTGGGGGTGTGTGTGCTTGCTCATTTCATATCCTCAACCCACTCACCACAGCCTATGACCCAAGAGAAAAGCCACACTTAGTCTGGATGACCAGCCTTATTCAATGGGAAAAGCTACTCACTGCAGAACTCCTTCACGTTCTAAGGGCCCTTTCTCTCTTCATAACTGGCAGTCACGGGTTGTCATTCTGGCATAACGCACACTGGATTGACCAAGAGAAAAGCTCCTTTGTTCTTCAACCCCTAAAACCATTGATTCGTGGTTGAACCGGAGGGGCAGAGCCACTAACCCTTTTTGAACCATTCCAGGAACAGTCTCGAATTACTTCAGATCTGCACTGACCTGAATCTCTGAAGAGGTCACTTTCCAACTTAGCCAACGGTAGGACAGCAGGCCCAAGATGACCATTTTGAGAATTAAATTCCTGGGGGGAAAGAAACAGAAGCATTGCCTAAGAAAAAGTTTACTTTCAGATCACAGGAATCATCATCGGGTATTCTCTCACCCTACTTCTCTAGCCTCCTTCCAGCTGACACCTGGAGCAAGGAAGACCTCTTTTATCCTGCACTTGTGCAAGGAGGCCAAATGTGAACAGAACAAGAAGAAGGAAGCAGATTGAGCCCCAAGTGCCTCCTCTTTTCTAGCTACACAGTAAAAACAAAGGTACAAAGGGCTCTTTCTATTACAAAATTATGTATACCATGATTTAGCTCACTTCTGCCTCTTGTCGTATCACATGCTTCTGACTGGACTGCACAGATTGTTTTATGGGGAATGAAAAAGAAAGGCACTGAGGGCTGAGCTTTTCCTGGGTAATGCTGCTGGTGAAAATGGGCTTTTAATTCCCTTTTATAAACAATTAGATTAATAATATTGCAACAATGGGATGCAGTTGAGCCCCGTCCACCCTGCATTTCAGCTGTGAGATTTTGTATTACCTGCTAATGGCAACGTACACCTTCAGGACTGGAGATTCCTGTTTCTCCCATGCAGCCAGGTAGTTGTACAAATACGGCATAAGCAAGTTAATGAGAGACACAACCAGAGGCAGGGCCAGGAGCAACAATTCTTTCCCAGCATGGCTGTTTTTCAAAAACTCTTCATGCAGAACCTGAGGAGGAAATCATTCACATGCATTTATATTCCACTTTTTCACTAGGAAACCAAGACAGCATAGAAAGAGCCCTCCCTGCTGCTATTATTCTTTATCTGCACCCCATCTTTATTATTTTTACAAATAACTCGAGGCAGCAAACATATGCAGCTCACCTTCTTCCTCCTATTTTCCCTACAAACAACCACCCTGTGAGGTGAGTTGGGCTGAGAGAGATTGATTGATCCAAGATCACCTAGATAGCGTTCATGGCTAAGGTGGGACTTGAACTCACAATCTCTTGCTTTCTAGCCTGGTGCGTTAACCATTAGACCAAGCTAGCTTTCCCACACCATACTGTAAGCCAATTGGGATAGGCTAAGGTGATTGGCTCTATGTCATGCAATGAGCTCCATGATTGAGCAGACTTTTGAGATATGGTTACCCTGGTCCATGTCCAACATCTTAATCAGTGCACTATGCTGCCTGGCTACTCGATGCCTTACATGCCCAAAGAATGCATGAAACCACCAGGAAAATGTCCACATTCAGTACAAATGGAACTGTCAATATGGAACATGGAGATTTCCCCTCAAATGGAACTTTTGCTCAAATCCCTGTAGACAAGTTGGGCTGTAATTAGTTAGCAGAGTATGTGCAATAATTCCATGCTGACTGAAGAACTACTGATTATTTGATACAGTCATCTTAGAAAAGGAGCTTCTTTCACTGCAGTTGAGATGGCTGATGGTAGCTCAATGCTCTCGGCCCCAATTATGTTTCTGTTGAAACTAAGAGTTTAATTTCATCCGCAAGAATTGTTATTTTATAGAAGCCAGGTATAACCACAGTGTGTTTGTTCTCTATAGTTACAACTCCCATCAGCCAAAGCAAGCATGAAATGTTGGCTGAGGACGATGGGAACAAGAAAACAATATGCCTGGAGAATGCAACGTCAGGAAAGATCACTCTATTACAACCCTGACCTATGCTCTATTACATGCATTTATTTTCTTCATTAATGCATAAATTACATTTTAATCTGTCCAATAATAGCTTTCCGACCATGAACATTGTTGTTAATTTTTTTTCTTCAGTTCAATTGTGTCTTATTTTCAGAGATTGCCTGGACAAGTCTGTGCAGATTATTATTATTATTATTATTATTATTATTATTTTGGGGAGTGGAGTTTTTGTGATAGGTGCTTATGGCAATATGTACTGTAAATGCATGAATTCAGCACTTACTGCTATTGGTATAAGTGTCCTGAGCAGTGGCATCTCCCAGGAAGGATAAAAACAGGCAAGTCAGCATTTGCAGCTATGCAACTGAATTCCTGCCCCTTTGTATGTGCCTGCTGCAACCGCCATCTTGCCTGTTTTGACTTCCCTTTCTCAGAGGCTGCAGAAAATGACCTCATTCTCATGAATCTCTCCCAGGAAGCAGGAGCAGGTATCTGAACAGGGAACCATATACCACATACCTTGTGTACGTATTCAGAAAAGTAATGTATACCAATGGCAGTGCCTGCAACAGTGCTCAGGGATACAGTCCAGGCCACCAGCAAGATTACGAGTTCCTGCAGTTTCTTAGAAAAGCTTAAACAGGATTCCAGCCTCTGCTCAGCCAGACACTCCTGAAAAAAAGAGAGAAGAAAAACAGGATGCATGTACAGAGAGAGTGTGGGCGGGGGGAGAGAGAGAAGTGGGGAAGAGAGCTCAGTTTATGATTAAAAGGGATTAAGCACGTGACTCAATCATGAAAGTATAACAGTACAATTATGTCTTAAACATAAGAAGATTCTCAATGAATGAGAAGTCAGCATTGATTTTTCGTAAAGGAAATCTCTGGAGAGGGACTAGAGCTTCAAAAGTGAACTGTGGGCTTTAAGTGGGAATGTGTTGCAAACAAAAATGAGCAATTACAGGAAAAGACAAGCTTCAGGAGAATTATATTGAAACCTCCAGGGAATGTAACGTCTTACCTTGGATGCAATCTACATTTCTCTATTAATGCTCAGTACTACGACTCTGAGAAGGCTTTGCCCACTGAGTATGAATAAGCCAGGTTTCCTATTCTGCCCATGTCCTCTCTGTTGCTAAACAGACAGGATGGGAAATTTTTGTTGTTGCTGTTGTTGGTATGAAGATCAAATTTCCACGCAGTATAATCTAGTCAGTGACATATCACTAGCAGTTGCACCCTTCTCCCCTACTCGACCTGCCAAGTAAGGGGCAGATAGCTTCTTGCCAAAGGACTGATCTGACTGCTTGCAGAGGCCAAAAGCTGCAAATTTCTCTCTCTGCCTACAGTTTCAGAATGAAGAGGCACATACAAGCCGCTCTGCTTTTCTCTTGTCCCCCCTGTAAAAGGCACTAAGCATATTTATTTCTTGCAGATAGAATTCCTTTATCCTCACTGTAGTTGAGACAGGGAATGTCATAGGTCAGGAGTGTCCAACCTTGGCAACTTTAAGACTTGTGGACTTCAACTCCCAGCAAAGCTGGCTGAGGAATTCTGGGAGTTGAAGTCCACAAGTCTTAAAGTTGCCAAGGTTGGACACCCCTGTCATAGGTTCAGGGCAGTAGGTTTGATTCTTGTTCAGTAAAATGCCCTGTATTATGAAGGGCAATAAACATTTTTGGCACCACACAGGATGGTACTATTGCTAGCATGGTTGAGGTAGTTAGCCATAAAAGAAAGAAGAAAATAGCTCAAGCATCCAATTAGATTAGAACTTAACTTGAAACACTGTAAGCGTTCAGCCAAAGGGTATAATGGGAAGTTTGGGATTACTCCTCTTCCTTTGCACACGAGGGCTGTAGCAACAGGCAGGATGGCAGGCTGAATTGATAGCTAACCTACTTGCAGAAACTTTGGTGAAAATTAAGATTTGGGTGTATTCAGCATTAAAAGACACTGCACCCTATCTTTCAAATGTACTCTCAAATAAATCTCTGATGTCTCATTTCTATTCTCTGTTTCACTAACCCTGGAGATTTTATTTCCCAGTTAATTTAGCTCTTCCATTTTCACAGACTGCACAGCTCTGTTCAGCACTTACCTTCAGATGGGTGCGAATGTTCTCACTCTGGAGTTGGACTGAGCGTTTCTGAATCACCTTGTAATCCCAGGAACAGAAGACTTTGACTGCCAGGTTACTTGATGCACTGCCTACACGGTAACTTTCCCCAAAGGAGTGAGACACACTATGAGGAGGGGGGGGGGGAAAGCCATCAGTATCTGCTGGTTAGACAAGCATCAATTTTAAACTGTTCTCCAAGGAAGAGCCTTTGTGGTCACTCAAACATGGAATTAACTGTCTGGTGGAAAGACTGGCAGGGCTATAGGCAAATTTCACTGTATTTAATAGGCAGGTATGCCTAGGTAAGATTGTAGTAAGCTTAATATTATAAATTTGAGTAATTGCCTGAGGCAAGATTGCTAAGAACACTGGAAAAGCTATAATAGGAATATTATTACCTATTCCTGTAACAGAAATGTTAAAGTATTTGATATCAATTTCTTGGAAAAAAATGGCATTTTGAAAATGATGAATATCAAGTTATTTAATTATTTAAACCCTGTTTTAAATGATCACATTAATAAGTCTGAAATTGTTTTGAAACAATCGACAATATTTATGTTCAAATAATGTAGGTGTAAATTACACAAGATTTGCAAATATAATCCTACGTTGTAGAAATAAGATCCCTCACAAATTCAGTGAGGCTAATTTCTGAGAAACCATTTCTTTTATTTTCTTAGTGGCAATCCTAGATATCAGTCTGATTCCACTAAGCTGTCCCACAATCCTTTGCTCTTGGTCCAGATGGGCAGGGCTCTTGAAATGCAAAAGTCTGGGTAGAGCAGCAGAGCTTCCTCTCCCTGGTGCTGAGAATCACAGCCAAGAAAAATAAATATGGATAGGTAGGAGGAAACCACCTGGGGTAATGATGAAAGTCATGTTTATTTAAATCCTACCTGAAAGGGATGCAAATACACATTAAATGCATTTAGGAAGGCGAGTCTTATCCCAGGCAGAAAAGAAAGGATCAGCTGGGCTCTTATGCAAAGGGAAGATAGTAGGCATCTCATCTCACCTGTAGATCAAGAGAAAGCAGATTCCAAAGAAGGCGCTTCCAGTAACAAAGAGGTAAGCCAAAGGCATATTGTAGGACATCTGGCTATGCGTGTGTTGCCTGTAATGGGTGCTATTAGCCTCAGAAGCATCAGGGGCATTCAGTGTGAAATTACTGTAGTAACCATAATACATCAGAGTGTGACTGAAGTAGCCCTGTGAAGAAAATACATTATTGTCAATCCTTTGGATCCTTTGGAGGGTTATCCTTTCCTGAAGATGGCCCTGGCTGAAACCATACTGAAATATTTCACTCTTTATTAAAATCACAGCCACAGATTATTCGTGGAAATGGTCTTACAGAGATGCCAACATCACATAGAAGTAACTATACCCCTTGGGCTATTCCAAACACTTCAGGTAGTCCTCGAGTTACAAATGTACAGACAGGAGGTTATATAACTTGCCTTGCGGTGTAACCGGAACAATCTGGAACTGAACACACTCAAAACTGTAGAAATGGTGGTAGACTTTAGAAGAAACCCTCCCATACTACCACCTCTTACAATACTAAACACAGTATCAACAGTAGAGACCTTCAAATTTCTAGGTTCTATTATATCACATGACCTAAAATGGACACCTAACATCAAAAACATCGTCAAAAAAGCACAACAAAGAATGTTCTTTCTGCACCAACTCAGAAAGCTCAAACTGCCCAAGGAGCTGCTGATACAGTTCTACAGAGGAATTACTGAGTCTATCATCTGCACCTCTATAACTGTCTGGTTTGGTTCTGCAACCCAACAGAACAGACACAGACTTCGAGGATAATTAGGACTGCAGAAAAAACAATTACTACCCACCTGCCTTCAATTGAGGACCTGTATACTGCACGAATCAAAAAGAGGGCTGTGAAAATATTTACAGACCCCTCACATCCCGGACATAAATTGTTTCAACCCCTTCCCTCAAAACGATGCTATAGAGCACTGCACACCAGAACAACTAGACACAAGAACAGTTTTTTCCCAAAAGCCATCACTCTGCTAAACAAATAATTCCCTCAACACTGTTCAACTATTTACAAAGTGTACACTACTATTACTGTTAATCTTCTCATCACTCCTTATCACCCATCCCCTCCCACTTGTGATTGTAGGACTAACTTTGTCGCTTGTATCCTTACGATTTATATTGACTGTTTCCTAGTATGATTTTATTGTTGATTGTACCCTATGACTATCATTAAGTGTTGTATGTTATGATTCTTGATTCTTAATGAATGTACCTTTTCTTTATGTATACTGAGAGTATTTACACCGACAAATTCCTTGTGTCTCCAATCACACTTGGTCAATAAGGTATTCTATTCTATTCTATTCTACACTACTCTACTCTACTCTACTCTACTCTACTCTACTCTACTCTACGTAATGGAGCCCATTCTATTCATAACCCGAGGATTCATGGGAGTGAATCACATACCTTGAAAGGGATCACTTCCTCCTTTTGGACGCACATTTGTTAATCAAATGCAAGCCTCGTTAAGTGTACATGAGGGTGCAGAAGGCGGGGGGGGGGGGGGTGATGGAACAGGCCGCCTGACTAAGACTACCCAAGGCCTCCCCGAACCCTTGAAATATCTCATGCTCTCCACAATTGTTTTCCCCCCACCCAAACTGCCACACTGGGTCTCTTATAATGCGAAGATCTAGTAAACAGTCTCCTCTCCAGGCTCTCAGCTGTGTGCACCCCTCTGCAGCTCCGTTTGAGCCTCCGCAGGTCTCCTCTGCCACTTTCCAGGCTGAAATGGAGCTTCGGAGGGGCCCCTCCGAGCCTTTATTTTGGCCTGCAACATGCTGGATGAGACCTCCAGAGGTCTCCATTTCTGCCTGCAACATTCAGGACAAATGTTGCAGAGCCTCTGCAGTTGTTCATAAGGGCAAACAACTGCCGTGATGCTATAAGATTCATAGTTTCGGGACTTGTTCGTAAACACTAGGGAGCGCTTATTGCGTAATTTCAAACATTCGCTAAGGGTATGCTTGTAATCTGGGAATTTCCTGTATTCTTTTGTTTCTGGACAAGTTCACATTTCCAGAATATAGACTACAAGTAGAAGCACTAGTAGTGAACAGGTATCTATCAACCATCCAGACATGTTGTGACAGACTAAAAGTAAATAGGTGTGTAGTTCACTATGGCAATTTAATCTGTTAGATTGGCAAGCATAAGTTTGACTGTGGTAGAATGTCATGGACTGAAAGTCAAAGGCAAAATTGATAGACACCAATAGCTTATATATTTCCCATTTTGTCTCATAGTGCAGGAATCAGGCTTTATCTGGATTTTTTAACTATCTTTTCATGGGCAAAGCAAACATTTCTGCTGCGCAATGGGATGGATTAGAGAAAAATATGTCACTATAAGTATTCACAACTGCTAGTGATACACTCTGTTGAGTAGTTCTATTAGTAAAGGAAAGCTATCGGATTTCAGGAATACTCACTGCTCCGGTTAAGAGTTCAGATCCTGTGAAAGCCACACTGTTGGGTATGGCAGAAGGGAAAGCAGCCTGCACAGCAACTACAAAGACCAGCAGGATCAGGAACATAAAGAGATTGAAGAAGAGCAATGTCCTGAGGAATAGGAAATAGGAGAGGATGCTAGAGCCAAAGCGGCCACTGATCTCCTTGAGGGAATAATGCCAGGGCT